TTACTGTTGTGGCAAGAACAGTGGTGGTCCCGATAGTTACTCATGGCTCTAGAGCACTTGGCAGCTCATTAAAGGATTTCCTGTCTATTCATTTTCTTTGACCTGCCTACAACCACCCCACAAGGAGGAATGGGCAGGTACAAATGTACCCATTTTACAGAAGAAGAAACTGAGCCTCGGTCACTTCCTGGGGAAGGATGTCTCTGGAGCTCAGATGGAAATCTTTGGACTTCAGGCCTGGAGCGCACTCCCTTCTTAGCACCCAGCCAGCCATCTTCAGCCAAAGGGCTTTCTAGAAGCTTTCTTTCTCCTCAGCCCTCTTGACTGTTTTTAGATCTGCCAAGGTCTCCTGCTTCTGGAACCTTCCCGCAAAATGCCTACGGGAGATCCCCAGTCTTTTTGTCACTAGGGACTCCTTTTACTCCCCCTCTCCCGTTTGCCGTGTTTTGAAAGTATTTTTCTTTATTTCATTTGAAAGTTTTTTTCCCCCTACTATACTGCTTTTAAAAATTAATAGCTAAGGAGTTTCTTCATTTTATTAATCAAAGCTTTATGAACGTACCAGTTGGGGCCTTTGATTAGCATGAGATGAATAATTCACTCCTTTATTCAACAGCAACAGCAACAAAATTTATTTAACAAATAATTAGTGAGCACCTGCTCACACCTATCACTCTTAGGGAATACAAAGGGATACGGGGATGAAGAAAATAATCCAGGCTTCTGCCCTCGAGGTACTTACAATCTAGAGATAATTAACTTAACCAAATAGAGTTGATATAATCAATTGGTTAAAGAACTTATTCCTCAAATTTCTGTGAATCCGGTGATGGATATGAGATAGTCTTGTATTAGTTTACTAGGGCTGTCAAAACAAAGAACCACTGTTTTGGCTTACACAAAAGACTGGGTGGCTTACACAACAGAATTTGTTTTATCACAATCTGGAGATTGGAAGTCCAAGATCAAAGTGCAGGCAGGGCTGGTTTCTTCTAAGCCCTGTCTCCCTGGCTTGTAGATGGTTGGCTTCTTCTTGTGTCTTTGTACTGTCCCTCCTCTGTGCGTTCTGTGACCTAATTTCTTCTTCTTATAAGGACACCAGTCATACTGGACTAGGGCCCACCCCGATGACCTTGTTTTAGTCCGTTTTGTGTTGCTATAACAGAAATACCTGAGACTGGGTAATTTATAAAGAAAAGAGGTTTATTTGGCTTATGATTCTGGGACAGCTGCATCTGGCGTGGGCCTCAGGCTGCTTCTACTCATGGCGGAAAGTGGCAGGCAGTTAGGGGGTACAAGCAGATCACATGGCGAGAGGAAGCAAGAGAGAGAGAGAAGGTTCCAGGGTCTTTTTAAGCAATGAACTCTCGTGGGAACTAATAGAGCGAGAACTCACTCATGAATCCCCCCTCCCCCAGGGAGAGCATTAATCCATTCATGAGGGATCCGCCCCCATGACTCCGTCAGTTTCCAACACTGTCACATTGGAGATCAAATTTCCACATGAGTTTTGGAGGGAACAACACATCCAAACTCCATCGGACCTTATGTAACTTTAATTATCTCTTTAAAGACTCTGTCTCCAAATACGGTCACATTCTGAGGTACTAGAGGTTAAAGTTCAAACATATGAATTTGGGGGTTGTGGGGGACACAATTCAGCCCGTAATAGTCCTTACTCTCGAAGAAATTACAGACCAAAGGGAGGTGATCAAGAAAATAGGTGACCATGATAGCCATTAAGCATAGAGACAGGGCAAACCCAGGTGGTCATGAGACACCTTTATCAGACAGAGTGGGCCAGGACAGGTTTCCTGCAGGAGGTGAGGTCAAACCAAGACCAAGAGGATGAGTCAGAGATCGCTTGGTGAAATGGGGCGAGAGAAAGTGAGTGAAGGGGAGATGGAGAGGAAGTGATCCCTGGTGGGGGACCAGCACGTGCAAAGGCCCTGGTCACTGTGATGGCACAAGAAGTACCAGCGAGGAGCAGCTGGTTGCAGAAGAACCAAGAGAGATGAGGCTGTACAGGCCAGCAGGGTCTCAGATCCAGAAAGGCCTTATAGTCTGGGTCAAGGAGCTTGGATTTTATCCAGAAGTCAACGGGGGGACACTGAGGGATTATAAGCAGAGTTGTTGCTGCAGTAGGAAGAATGGGTAGGAAGCGGGGAGATGGATAAAGGGTCACTGCAACAGTCTGAGCAAGGGGTGATGGTTTTGGGTAGTGGCAGTGGGATTTGGGAGAAGGGACCAAATTGTCAAACTCATAAGTTGTAATGGGGATAGGATGGGTTGGGGCAGGAAAGAAGGGGATGAGTCAGAAATGGCTCTGAGGTTTCTAGCCCGGGCACGTGGTTGGAGAAGGGACAATTACTTGAGAGAGGGAGGCCAGGGAGGGCAGATTTAGGGGGAAGGTGATGAGTTTGGAGTGGTTGGGCCCATGTAGATGGAGGTGTCAGGAGGTAGTTGGATATAGGGTCTGGAGTTCAGAGGACAGTCTGGGCTGGAGACAGAGATCTGGGAAGCACTGGCAGTAAGATGGAAATGCTTGGTAATGGGAGGGTGAAATAGAACAGAGGCAGAGAGTGGACCCAAAGGGGCCCATGCTCAGGACATTTACAAGAAGAGTAATTGACAAAGTAGGTTGAGAAGGAGCAGCCAAAGAGAGAGGCAGGGATCCAGGAGAGAGCTGGGCCTTGAAGGCAGGGAAAGAGCTTCCAAGAAGGAGGTTTTGACCACCGGGTTCTCAGGGAAGTGAAGCAAGATGTGGACTGAATGTGTCCACTGGTTTATCCCTGAGTAGTAAATGGTAACCTTGGTGACAGTGGTCACAGCAGAGTGAAGGGAAGAGGCCTTCTTGAGGAGTAAGCAGGTAGATAAAAAGTGTAAAGACCTCTTTGAAGAAACTTGGCTTTGAAGGGGAGGAGAAAGGAGGGTGGTGGGGGGAAGGGTGTGGATTTCAGGGAGGGATGGAGAAAGTTTAAATGCCCATAGGAAAGAGCCAGGTCAGGGGGAAGGGATTGACGTTTCAACCAAAGGTTAATTTTGACATTTTGGTTAGCCTGGGCAGTTGCATGGAGGCTAAAGGTAGATTCATTCATTCATTCACTCACTCATTCATTCCACACTATATGTCAGGCACTGTTCTTGGCCCTGGGAATGAACACAGCAGACAAAACCCCTTTCCTCATGCGGCTTGCATTCTAGAGAGGGAAACAGACAATAAGCACAATGAATAAGTAACAGATCCTCTAGGTCAGTAGGGGACAAAGATGATGGGGAAGAAGGAAAAGATAGTGCAGGTTGTGGAATAAGGTGGGGTGGTCAGGGCGGGCCTCATGGACAGTGATTCTGGAGCAAAGACTTGAAAAGACGAGGGAAGGAGCCAAGCAGAGCTGTGGAAGGAGCACGTTCCTGGACAAAGGAGCATCTGGAATGAAGTTCTTTAAGGTGGGAGCGTGCCTGGACTATCTGAGGAACAGCAGGGAGCCCAGTGAGGCTGGAGTGGAGCAAGCACAGGTGAGAGCAGACAGAAAGGAGGGGAGAGAGTTGGGGGAGGGTGGAGGCCACCATCAGCCTGGGAAGTTCTCATGGGATAAAATGGGGCTGTGGGGGATTCTGAGCAGAGGAGGGACATGCTCTGACTTTTGGATAAGAGGACCCCCTGGCTGCTGTGTTGATGATAGAATGCAGTAAGGTGTGCTAGTGTCCTGTGGCTGCTATAATAAAATACCCCAAACTGGGTGGCTTAAAACAACAGAAATTTATTCTCTCACAGTTCTGGAGGCCAGAAATCTGAAACCAAGGTGTCAGTAGGGCTGGTTCCTTCTTGGCGATTCACAAGGAGGCCCCTTGCCTCTCTCCTGGCTGCTGTTGGCAGTCCTTGCTATCATTTGTCTTGGGCAGCATCCCTCCAATCTCTGCCTCTGTTGTCACATGGCTGTCTCCCTGCGTGTGTTCGTGTATCCAAATTTCTCTCTTGTAAGGACACTAGTCATTGGAGTAGGGCCCACCCTAATGTTATATGACCTTATCTTAACTTGATTACATCTGCAGATAGGTCACATTCACAGGCTCTGGGTGGACATGAACTTCTGGTTTTCAACCCCGTGGAGAGGGAGGTTTAGGAGCAGGGGACCTTTTAGGAACTTGCTGCCGTATAATTTCTGTTAGGCTTCTGGGCATGTACCTTTCTTTTAACCATCTTTGAGGGCCCCAGGAGTGAGGGCTGCCAGGCTGCAAGCCATAGACCTGCAGATCATGAGGTGTGTGGCCCTCGTTGCCACCAGGGGGGTGTGAGAGGACATGGGGCAGAGGGTGAGCCTGGGCTTCCTTCTGTTGTTTCCAGGAGTGGCCACATGAAGCTCAGCATCCTCATTCCCCTCACCTTTGCCGTGTTGCTGCTTCTCTTGGTTGTGGCCTCACTGTTGGCTTGGAGGATGCTGAAGCGACAGAAGAAGGGTGAGAGGACTTGGCGGAGGCTGGCTTGGGCTGGGCTGGGGCTGGTGTGTGGGGCCAGTGGCTGGCATTGTTCTCTGGGAGCTGTCTGGTCCAAGAGTTTGCTGACAGAGTCTGCAAGGGGCACTGTCTCAAAAGCCACCTGCAGCTGACAGTCTGAAGGGCTTGGGGGACCCCTGGAGCTGGTGGGTGAGCCCCAGGAGGTTTGGCATTGGCTGCCTGCCATGCACATCCCTCCTAGCTCTCCCTTTCTCTCTGCTCTGCCTCCCTCTCTGTTTCCCTGTTTGGCTCTTGGTGGGCAGAGGTGGCAATGGCCTTAGGTGAGCAGCCCAGTCTAGGGTGCTTGGACACTTCGGTAGAATCCCGGTGGTTGCCAAGGAGGTACTGAGCTGACGTGGGGGGAGGGAGAAACACACACACACATGCACATGTAGTATATGCACACACACATGCATAGCATGCAAACACATGAGCACGTACACTTCCACACACGTGATCTCATATACACATGTGTGCACACATGCACTTGTCACATACATGTGCATGCACACATCACACAATCCTCTGGGTCTGACCAGAAAGGTTGGTGCTCCCCTCTGCCTGCCAGCCCTCCCACAGGCCGACCTACTTGGGTGTGAGCTTGTCTTCAGGGAAGAGATATTTGCTCAGGGGCCTCCACTCACAGATTGCAAGGTCTGGCTCAACCAGCCCTTTTCCTGTCTGGCTTGACTTCCACATTCTTATGTAATTGCACGCCTCTCCCTTCTCGGAACCCCAGATCCTGTGCTCTGGCTCTCCTTGGGCTCTCTCCAATACCCCTCCCTCCCCGCAGCCTGGGGGACCCCTCAGTCTGGGAGGAGGGATGTCTGACTCTCATCCACCACTTTTTCTCCCAAATGTCTTGTCCATGACCTAATTTCTAAGTATTTTCTGTGCTTCTCAGCATCTACACTTTTGAGACTAAAAACCAGGGAATAAATTCCTTGTTTCTTTCTTCTTTGTTGTCCCTAGAACAGGGGAATGGGGGAAGTGGCAGGGGGAGGGCTGATGGACAGAAAGACACACAGGAACCACCAATCGCCTGAAAACGGATCCAGACTGTGCCAGCCCAGCTAGCGCTCCACTGGAGGGCAGCTTGGAGCCATCCTATTGTGTCTCTGTGGACAACTTTTACTGATCGAGCACCCACCCGCCAGGCACAGCCAAGCACCCCGAATGTGAGAAAGGGACAGGTCAGGCCACCCAGCAGCTCCTGGCCCACCTGAAGACTAACTAGAATTCAGTGGAAGAAAGACGATGAGACAGACATAAAGCAAGTGCCGTGGGAGCCGGGAGGGGGTATCAGACAGCTTAGGAAGCTGAGGAAGGTAGGCATGACGGCGAGTTGACCCCTGGAGGATGAATCAGGTGGAGAAGTGGTGGGGTTACAGGCTGAACTCCCAGCAGAAGTTACAGGCTGAGCCTGGGATTTTGCAGAAGGAAACCTAACCCCAGGGGAGACCATGGCTGGCAGGGCCACCTGATCAGTCGATGGCACAGTTCTATGATGTGGGGGAACAGAGGGGCTGAGGTCTCCCTCTTTTTCAGGTGAAGAAATGAAAGCTCAAAGAGGCGATGTGACCAGTGTCACAGAGTGTGTCATCTGAGGGGTCAGAATGAGAACCATGTTTCCTGTCTCTGAGCCTAGAGCCTAATTCACCCCTGTTCTTCCGTATTTCTCTCCACCAGAGTCTTGGGGATGGGCTTTCTAATTCTGGATCATTTTTGTCTTTTAGCTGCTGGGATATCTCCAGAGCAGGTAAGAAAGTCCCTGCGGTTGGACCACAGAGACCAGGCAGCTTCCCCTTTTTTAATTTCCTGTCTCCCAGGAGCACTGAAGTCCAAATGTATCAGGCAAACCATGTGCCGAAGTGTCCACATAGCCACGGCCTCCTGCAGGGCATGGGAGGGTGGGGAGCCTGGAGACAGCCAGAGGGGGTGAGGGCTGGGGTCATGGGAGACTGAGAAGTGGGGGGCATAGAGGGAACTGGGAGGGGCTCGAGTCCCTCCATGGAAGAGGAACCTGTGTTCACAGACAGATCTTGTGATTCCCCTGCAGCCCCTGGAGAGTGACCTCTGCTATGCAAACCTGACCCTGCAGCAGACTGGAAGGTCCCCCGGCCCCTCCCAGAAGAAGGTCCCCACAGAGCCCTCCTCCTCTGCCCAGGCTGGCCAGGCAGAAGTGGAATATGTCTCCATGGTGTGTCCTCCGTGGGTGCTGCTGTGGGGCTGGGGAGGGACACACTTGCCGTTGACCCCCCTTTGAGGATGGGCTCTTCCGATCGTGTGGGAGCAGCTGAGGAGAGCAGTCAAGTGCGGTGCCCGTGCTGGGTGGAAGAGAGCCACCCCGGCCGAGTGACTCAGGATTTCATAGCGGATGTGCTGCCCTGGGGCAGAGTCGAGGGAGAACCTGTTCTGCTGTGGCTGAAGCTCAGGGTATCTGGCAGAATGGAGGGGGCAGTGGGAGGGCTTGGGAGTGGGCTGCAGAGGCCTGAAGGGTCTGCCCCCACCAGCCTCATCAGAGAGCTTTTCTGTCCCGTGGCCATTGCCACTGCCAGCCCCTCTGACCTCACGACCCTCTTTCTTGCAGGCTTCCTTTCCGGGGGAGGAAGTTCCCTATGTGTCACTGTCTTTGGACAACTTGGATCAGGAGCCAACCTACAGCAACACGAGCCATCTCATCAACTACACCCCTGGCAGGGACCACGAGGAGCCCACAGAATACAGCGCCATCAGGCGGCTGTAGCCTGTACTCCAGGCCTCCCTCTCAGACCCCACATGAGGCCTGTGGGCACAGTACTTGCACCAGGACCCACCAGAGACTGAGGCTTCTGCCTCATCAGCCAGCACAGCCCCTGGCTCTGTTTTGGGCTTGGGTCTTAGCCTCAGGGGGCTTCTGGGAGTTGGGGGTCTCTCCACATCCCCTCCTCTCCCACATAGCTTGGGAGGGGTCTGGGGACATGCCCTGGGGCTGATGTGGGAATAATAACAATATGATAATAGTAATTAACCTTTATTTATTGCTTACCATGTGTGGTGAGCTGAATAATGGCCCCAAAGATCACTGTGTCCTAATCCCCGGGACCTGTGAGTGTTACCTTATATGGCAAAAGGGATGGTGCAGGTGTGATTATGTTAAGGATTTTGAGATGGGGGGATTATCTAGGTCTGCCCAAATATGATCACAAGGGTCTTTATACGAAGGTGGCAGGAAACAGAAGGCAATGTGGTGACGGAAGTGGAGGTTGGAGGGATGTGGATGGGAGCCAAGGCATGCCACTGCCTCTATAAGCTGGAAAAGGCAAGGAATGGATTCTCCCCTGGAGCCTCTGAAAGGAGCCAGCTCTGCTAACACCCTGCCTTGAGCCCTGTGAAACTGACCCTGTACTTCTGGCCTCCAGAACTGTAGGAGAATAAATTTGTATTGTTTTTAATGAAGCCACTAAATTGGTGCTAGTTTGTTACAGCAGCTGGGAAACACACACTGTGTGGCAGGAGCTCTTCCCTAAACGCTTCTCCTATAGTAGCTCATTTAATCCTCACAACAACCCCATGAGGGTGTTTCTATTACTGTTTGCATCTTACAGATGAGGAACCTGAAGCAGGGAGAGGTTCAGTGACTGGAGCCAAGTTCTGCTGCTGGTAAGCAGCTGAATTGGAATCCATACCCCAGGCATTTTGGCTCCAGAGTCTGGAGTCTGGGCCACTGCTCAGCACTGTCTGTGTGAGGAGGACTGTGTGTGTGTGTGTGCGTGTTTGTACACACTCACAGGGACAGTTAGCCTGTGTTTACCCACACTGACTTACTATCTTTATTCTAGAGTCCTGGCAGCCCTCCCTCCAGAATATATCCTGAATCCCATTGCGTCTCATCATCACCGTGGTTACCAGCCTAGTCCACCCAACCATATGGTCCCCTGCCTGGTCTCCCTCTTTCATTCTCTGCCCCTGAGTCCATTCTCTTTCCAGTGGCCAGAGACGTCTTTTCAAAGCACAGGACTGATCACTCCCTGCTTATAATCTTCTGGTGGTTTCTTCCCCAACCTGCAAGGCCCCAGGGGACCCTCGGGCCCCTGCCGGTGCCTTCGACTTCACGTGCCTCCACTCTGTCTCTCACTCACTCTGCTCCAGCCTTTCTTCTGTCCTAAAATGATAAGGCTTGCTCCCTTCTCAGAGCATTGGCATGTGCTGTTCCTTTTTTCTGGAATGTTCTTTCTGCAGATCTGTGAATAGTTCACTTCTTTTTATCATCCCATCTCAGCTCAAATGTCACCTGTCAGAGAGGACTTCCCTGACCACCTTAGGGGAAGCAGCCCCTATACCCACCTCCAATTTCTCTCTGTTTCGTTGCCCTATTTTATTTCCTTCATAGCATTTACTACTTTGTAAAATTACTTACTTACGGGTATGTGGGCTTATTATTTCCCCCACTCCACTAAGCCTTACGCTCCCTGAAGGGGGTGGGGGGACTCTGTCTCATTCATTCCTGTAACCCCCATGCTTATTAGTGTCTGCCATATGGTGGGTTCTTGAATGTATTTGTTGACTCAATGAATAAATAATGCAGATGGTTAAGACTTGGGAACATAGGACAAGCTCCCAGGAGGAGGGACAGCAGTGTCCATCATTCTAGGAAGGGAGTCCTGCAAGCTAAGGAATTTCAGGATTGACTTCCTAGAAGCACAAAGTGGGGAGACTCTTTCTCCCCTCCTGAAAAATTGGGGAGAGGGGAGGAGCCGTGTTGTCCTCTGACTGGAGGACAAAGGTCTATTACTTCACTTCGTTTGACTTTGGGGGATGGATGTCAGGGATCAAAAGTCAGGGAAAGGCATCGTGGCTTGGGAAGAAATGACAAGCTATGCCTGAGGACCAGAAGCAAGTGACCCAGCAGGTGCAGGGGTCATGGAGGTGTTTAGTGGGCCATCATCAGTGTGTCCTTGGGTTTGCCTGACTTCTCACAGCTCTGGACACCCTAAGGGGGTCTGAGAGAGGTGGCCTTGGTGGATGGCTCCTGCTCCCTGTGCTCCCAAAATGATTCCCTAGAATCTCAAGAGCATTTCTACTTGGGAGGAATTTGCAGAGCCCAGGCAAGCTGGAATATTCAGGAGCTCCTCATCTAAGCTGGTCAGGTCAGAGTGAGACTGTTTTTGACCCAGGCTGTTTTAAGATTTACAGAGCAAGAAATGCCTATGGAGAGATCCTTAAATGGAAAAGTTCAAAGCAGAGCAAAATTAGAGTGAGTCGAAGTATGAGACTAAGTATAAGAATGAAAATCATACCATAAAGCCTTGGGCGAATGCATCACTGTGCTGTTTTAGCTATTGTGCATATAGTGGCTTTCTTTCTTTCTTTTTTTTTTTTTTTGTCTTTTTTTGTCTTTTTCCGTGTCCGGCAACGGATCGCAACCCTCAGTGTTGCCCCCGTACCAGACCGGGGACCGGCAACGGGATTGCAACCCTTGGTGTTGCTCCCGCGCCTCGCTCAGCCAGTGAGCGGGAACCGGTCTGTATGTGGGATCCGAACCCTCGGGCGGGAGCGCCGCCGCGCTTCCCAAGCGGCGCACTATCCAGTGTGCCACCGGGCCGGCCCCAATATAGTGGCTTTATTTCTGAGCTTACTTGAGCAGCCAGCACCAAACAGAATGTACATGCTTATGTTGGGTAGTAAGGAATCCATCTTTTCTGGTAATATATAATCACAGATCTTAGTGAAGATTATTGCCATGACCCTTCTGACATAAATCTAGAAACACAGGGAATACTAGAATTTAGCTCAGTTTGGTGTGGCTGGAAGGATCTGGCTGCTCCTGCAGTCAGTTTCATAGCTGGACAGAGCAGATTTCTGATTGACAGTCCTGATGGGCAGGGTCTAGGTTCTTTATGAGTTGGGTTATGACTATAGGAGTCAGCTGCTAATACCGCCCACTTTGTTCAAGCCTGAGCTAGAGTCTAGAGGAGCTGGGGAAGTTGGGCTAGATGGGGGAGGCAGATCTGTGTAAGAAGTTCGAAAGGAAATCGTTTCATAATGTTTACAGATTTGTCTCAGCTGTGTCTGGCTGCTCTGCAAAGACTTTGCTAAGGCGGATTTTGGGCAGCTGACAGGCACCTATATTGCAAGAGAGAGAATTCAGATATGGTTCCTCTATTCTGAGTGAGGGTGGCATTTACTATCTTGTCGTATGGTTTCCAGGAAAGCACATTCTGCTATTACAAACTCCAAGATATTTAAGCACTCAGTTCTGATTGAGTGCCTTGTTATTTATAGCCCGTCTAAAGTTGCTGGGTTTCCCTCCTTTGGTTTTTGAATTATTCATATTTAAAGATTCCACTTGATAAAAATTGTAGGGTTTGACCAGTCGCCTTTCAAAAACTGTGTGAGTATCTTTGGCTTCTGGAAGACAGAGCCTTTTTGAGAGTCAGTTGAGGGAGAAAAAAATACTGGGCTGGAAACCTCTAAAATACATGATTAAGATAAATGTTGGACTGAAGAAAGGTTAAAGACTTCCCTTGCTAGACACCTTGAAAAACAAAGTCCATAGCTGCTTAGCCTTGGAAGGGCCAGACTGCTGGAATTGTTTGATTTTCTGTAGCAATAAGTTTTTAGATTGGGAGGGACAGATGCAGTGGTCAGCCTTTTATTTACCAAGTAGGTGCATTCTTATCCAATGTAATTGGAATTGGCAATTAGTAAGTTCATTGAAAACTGTTGTTAAATCAGAAAATCATAAAAGAGATATATTCTGTCTTTAAATATTTCATTTTGACTCTAAATATCTAAATGTGTAGTAATTTGCTAGTGCACTGATGTAGACAGTCCTAAGGACTTTTCTTTGCTGTGGGTCTGCAGAAAGACAGGGGTCATTGCGTTTCCTGCACAGACCACACACATGTTGTAATATTGTTTTGGAGTTTCAGTTTCTTTAACATGAAGCAAGAAATTCTAGACACCTATGAAGCAAGCTGATTGCAAAATCCTTCTTCATTTTTATGTTTTTCCTCCCTATATTTTATAGTTCTCTCACGCATTCCTAATTTGACAGCATTTTTTTTTAATGACAGGCTTTCATGGAGTCTTTTTTTTTTTTTTGTCTTTTTCCGTGTCCGGCAACGGATCGCAACCCTCAGTGCTGCTCCCGCGCCTCGCTCAGCCAGTGAGCGGGAACTGGTCTGTATGTGGGATCCGAACCCTCGGCGGGAGCGCCGCCGCACTTCCCAAGCGGCGCACTGTAGCAGTGCGCCACCGGGCCAGCCCTCACGGAGTCTTTCCAAAGCATTTGAGTTAGTTTTTGTAGAAATGAGGGTTTTTTTGTTTACACTCTTATTTCATTGATTAATATTCTTTTCTGTTACTCTATTAGTTTATGAATGAATTAGTTCAATCACATCATTATAGTTAACGTGTACAACCAGCATAAACACACTGGGGTCCAAACACGGCAGACCCTCGTTAACTAGCCACTGGAACAGGTGAGGGCAGAAGTGAGGGCTCTTCTTGAGAAGAACCTGCCAGTGTGGGTGGTCACTGGACCACAGGCACGTGGTCAGCATGTTTCACCAAGAAACTAAAGGGTATTTATTGATTTAGTAAGTTGGTTAAGTGAAGGATTGGTTAAGAAAACTTCTACGAACCCATCTGCTATCACCATAATTTCATAAAAGAAAGGACATTTGAGCACCCAACTCTCAGAATAATAGTGTTTCCCAAGAAAGGGCACTTGGTGATTTTATGCCAACATCTATTTACGTGTGTGTGTGATTTCCTACAAATCGATTGATGCTCTGGCAAGGGCTGGTGCTTACACATCAACTGAGAATTGGCAGCCATTGATCTGGCTCACATCAGTTCTCTAGGCATGGTCCTCTCCACCATGTCCCAGCTGGTGTTGTCTAGCTTCCTGTTTGTCCGGACACTGACTAAGGGTGTCACTCAGGAGGCCCCCGTGGTCCTCTATCGGTTGTGAAAGGGCCCCTTCGGTCAGATTCCTGCTGCCCTGCACAAATCCTTTCCCCACAGGAGTCCACTGTGACCAGCCCTCACATGGCTCTGTCTTGAGGGTTTGCAGTTTCTGCATCAAGAAAGGATGACTGACTCACTCGTGCTGCTGAAGTTCCCTCTGGGTACAGGGTCTCAGAATAAAGGAGGGGAATACTGTTCCCCAGGGTCAGAAGGAAAAAAGACACATCATGAACCCCCATGTGATAGAAAACCTACTATTAGCAGAGCAAAGTCTCTTCTTATTTTATTATTATTTGTCTCTCCCAATAAAACCATGAACCAATGCACAGTCAGTTTGTGTTATTTAAGGATCTGATAATTGGTTTGTCACTCAGCAGCCACATTGCGTTTCCTTGCTGGCATTTCCAAACAGAATGCTGTCCTCGATCAAGGACACTGAGAGTTTCTGCCACAGGGAAGCAATGGGTCACCCCCTGGTCTCA